CGGAAGGAGCGGGTCCAGAAAAGGCAGGGCCGGAGGGAGCAGGACCGCTGGGCACGCCAGGGAAGCCCGGGATGCCGGTCCCGGTAGGAACAACAGGGACGGTGACAGTGATCGAACCGGCGCCGTGAGGGCCGGGGATCACAGTGGAGCTGACAACCTGCGAGGTCTCGGTGTCACAGGGGGTAGTTGAGGCAACAGGGCCGCTGGCGACGGGGGTACCGGCGGGAACAGAGACAGAGACGGAGACGGAAGCACCGGGACCGGAAGGCACAGCGGCGGTGCTGGGCAGGTAAGGGGTACTTGAGGGCAGGCTGGGGACGGAAGACGAGGCGGGGGCGGAGGGAGCACCGGGGATGCTGCAGCCGGTGAACCACTCGATGATGATGATCTGGATACTGACATCGACGTTAATGGAAGTGCAGCCACCGAGGAAAGCAGCGAGCTCAGTACGGGCGGCGAAGGTCAAGTCAAGCAGGCTACCGCCGGCAGCGCAGAGGGAAAGGGCACCACGGAGATCAACGCTGAGATCGGAGAGGGACTCGGTCAGGAGACCGGTGACATCGCCGACAAGACCACCAACCAGGCCGAGTGAAACGGAGACATCAGCCTCGACAGCGAAAGACAGCCAAAGAAGGACAACAGCCTTGAGCTCGACGCCCAGAGTGCAGTCGGAGCCGTGGAGCCAGATGGCGAGCTGGGTGCGGATGTCAAGTTCCACGGTGGTGGCGAGCTCACCCTTGGCGCATGCCTCGAGTGCGAGCTTGACATCAGCAGCGAGAGAAGCAGCGAGATCCACTCCCAGGAAGGCGGCTAGGGAGGCCTGGCCGCCGATGGACAGAAGGCCGGATTCTAGGACGTGCACGCCGACGGACGCACCCACGGATATGGTAGAGAGAGCAGTTTCCGCAAGAGCACCAATCTCAACAAGGTCACCCCCGGCGTGACCGTTGATCCAGGCAAGGATCGAGATCTTGAGATGAGCGCTGAGGTCACACTTCGCGCTGTTGATCCATGCGAGGAGGGCAGCCTTGATATCAGCCGACAGACTGCCGACAACACCGCCAGCGGCGCAGACATTCAGACCAATCTTGACGCCCAAATCAAGATCAAGCTGAGCCTCAATCCAAGCGGAAAGGGAAGCCTGGGCTCCAGCGCTCAGGACGAGAGCCGACTCGAGTCTGGCAGCCTCGAAGATACCTTCAATGGTCACGTAAAGCTGGCCCTTGGCAGCGATGTCGGCACATCCAGGGATGTACACGGATAGAGCAGCTAGGACGTCTGTGGAGAGGACGAACTCGTCGTAACCATCACACCAAAAGAGCAGCGAGTTCTTGAGGGAGAAGTCAATGTCGGCGTGGAAGAGCAACCAAGCCTTGAGGGCGGCCTTGGCCTCGTAATGGATGACACCGGACTTGCAGCCGAGAGCACCACCCTGGAGAGCGGCAGCACCCTCAGCACTGAGACCGGCAAAGAGTTCACCGGAGGAGTGGTGACCGAGGATGGCATCGACGATTGAATACACGTCGACGGTGATGTCGCCGAGGATCTCCCCGAGAAGACCCAGAGTACGGGGCTCCACGGACTTCTCGGTAGGGTAGGCGAGAGCCGCACTCGCCAGAGCGGCGAGCATAACGAGAGAAGAACGCATTGTGCGTTTTGTGATGAATTAACGAATGTAGAGGTCCAAAGCTGTTGGAAGTATTAAAATCTTCTGAAGGGTATGCAGAAGTGAAAGACCGGAAAGGCAAGCACAGACTGCCCAAAGGAATTAACGATAGACTGAAAGGTTGAAAAAGAAAAAAAAAGAAAAACGAGAGTTGTACAACTGAAAGATTCAACGAGGTGATCGCCATCGTTGTTTATATACCCCTGATCAACCGTGAACCAGGAGGTTGCCGGGCATGTCTTCCAGGTACCGCATCGGAACGGACTCAAAACTGGTTCTACCCCGGTCTCCAATTCCACCTTTGGAGCTGTCGACCCCTTAGGGTTCAGGGATATAGAGAGACTTGGGATCTACTAAGTGGATCATGACTCCTGAGAGAGGCTAACCCAGCGCAATACCGCATTGTGGACCACCCTCCGAGCTATTTTTGGGCTTGATGGTGAGAGAGCTACACACTGGGCTCCGTACGCTGGATCCCAGTGTCATATTTATCATACCACAATCTACGGAGTCAATCTTAATTATTCCGTGCGGGTCGTTTCGATAGATTTCCTTGGAAGCCCTGGAAGATAGGTCCCCACAAAGATCGAGATGGAACGAATCCCCAACAAAAAAGCAACTTGCAAAAGAAACGAAAGCTGCCAAGTTTTTAAGGGGAAATGATCAACAAGATCAACCTTGGAACTGGTTGAGACGTTGGAACATCCAAATTGTTGTATCAACATCGAAGTTACCCCTTTCTGTCTCCACAGTCGGAAGTATATTCGACTACAACATACAACATACGGAGGACTCTCCCCATCCACGACAGACATGGAGCACTCCGTTTTTACAGCCAAGTCGAAGGATTTGAATCTCCTGTAGTTATCAATTTCGGTGGCATTCCAAGTGGCCTGTTGTGAAATGCATCCACAGCCGGGGACTCAGCCCACAGGATGCACGCTTTTGACTGAATCGGGCAAAGATGGACATGTCTGATTCTGTCAAACTCCAGTCAACCCACGATGCCCGTCAAGTTCGTCGGAATTACATTATGGACGGGACGTGTCCGCCACTGAACCAGAGTACGGAGCACACCGTGAAAGATGGATTCCAAGTAGACGGTCGCGGTCTATTCTACCGGTGGTGAGAAGTACGGTTTAAACCCCATTGCAGAGCAGAACTCCAACACCGAGCCGACACCAGCCGTTGAATCCGATTGTTTTAGAAATTACGACAACGTTCTGTCCTCTACACCAACGATGAGGATATCCGCATCTAGGTCCTTAGTATGGCAGCACACACTAGTGAAGACGCTACTTAGAGTTGGGCGTAACGAAACATGAAGTTGTGCACTTCCGGCAGGGGAAAAACTCCACTTGGTGGGGGGTGCATTTGGTCTAGTCAAATCCGAATTAACGATTCAGGATAGATTATCAACCACGACATGTCGTGGCCCTCAGAGTGGGAAAAGCCCTCTCCCTTGAAATCGTCAAACTGGTCTTTGGAACGCTTCGTATCCTAATTCCGGATTTGTGGGAAACAAAGACCCTAGCTTTGGACAGCAGACGATTAAACATGACATGTTCGAGGATTACTATTAAGCTTCTCTTCCACTGCTCCACAACCTGTGCCCAAACAGTAAACGTAGTGATCTGCATGTATGAATCTACTGTCTCACCCCACGCGAGCTCGAGCAGTCGCTGCCGTGCATGTGATGGTACGCCTGTCAACGTGCAGAAGCACCGAGCATTTGCATCGTGGAAATTACGATTGGATCGATTTTCAACAGGCCGATGACAGATAATGGGACTATAGCTCCCCGCTGCTAGGGTCTACGGATATCCTTGACTCGGACAGATCTGACCAGAAATCAACCAATGTTGGAACTAATGCACTAATGCAGGTTGACAGAAAAGATGGTCAGTTCGGGATTTGGACACAAAGTACGGCCTATTCATCTTCCATTGTAATTCTACTTCCATCAGCCAAAACTCATCTTCATACCTGAAGTACGAGTTCTCCGAAATTTAGGGTTAGAACCAAAACCCCCAAACATAAAAAGCATCCGGAAACCAAAATAGAAACTGTTTCATAAAGGAAATTCCTAGCCATTGATCTGAGCATTGAAGGTTTGTGTTCGAACTCTTTTTTTCCCCCTGGTTATCAAGATGAAACATCCGACACTCTCCGAAGGGGTGTGGTGAGATGTGGGGAATACAACACGGTAAGAATTCTACAATATACTCGGTCCTCGTTAGGAATGAATAATCTACGGTGGGGTTTCTTCTCCACAGGGGGGGGGGGGCTTTGATTTGATTTTGTGTTTTGATTTAGAACAACAATAACTAAACCAATGGCACATCGTAGCTCTCATTTTCAAACGACTCTTGGCCGATTGTTCCGAAAAAACAACTATCGTAGAGAGGCGTTGGACTATTTGAGTCTAATCGTCGTGGATCCACCAGTTACACGGCAAGAATTCGGTGAAATGCCTCGAAGCTTTTGAAAGCAATAGCAGACAGTTGGATGCAGCATGATCCGAGTTTCTACCGAGTCTGGGTTGGGGGTTGAAAGAAAGACATCCTCAAACCGACCCCATTCTCAACTTGAAACATGAACTTGACTGGCTATTAGAACTAAGTGAACTAGGCAGAGTATACTTTGGGAAATGTGCAATGGCGAATCAACTTCTCTTACTACCAGCCCGCTTGCAAGTTTCCCACTATCTATTGTTAGAATAGATGCCTCAAACGATCGCAAATGGAAATCTGTGAACGTCTTCGGATCGCTAGACTTGAAACGACGTCTCGATTTTGTTGAGATAAAAAAAAACATTAAAAAAAAAAAAAACAAAGGAAACAGATCTTAGTTTTGTCTCAACCTGAGAGGTCTCTTCACTCGATCGCGGCATTGATCCTCCGATCTCTACCCCATGATGAGCTCCGACATCATCCGCGATCCTCTCAGAACTCATACCACTCGAGCAGAAGTTGTACCGAAATAAAAAAAAAAGGTCGACGTTCGGGAGTTCGCCGATGAAGACAAGATATGCGTCACATGGGAAGACTAGTGGGGTGTACAGGAAAGCCCCAAGGCTCCATCTACAGAGTACCATGGTACACCGTCAATGTTGGCTGGAATTTCGCGTCTTTCTAGAATGTTCCCGTTTCAAGATGCTACTCGAGTTGGTGAAAGAGAGTCTGGTGATCCACATCTACAATCCCATCGTCAGCCCGGGAAAGTAAAGAAGAGCAGCATGCCGATCAAGAAACGCCAGTCGCACTCCTTGATTTGGATGAGCTTACTTCAGAGCCAAGGAGCAGAAGGCCCGAAGATAGGTATATCACGAATCTTCGGCCGTTTACAGAACGTCGGTAGAGCCCGGTACCGCTGAGACGCAGACTTCGCGCAATGCGACGCGGGCTGCGCGTACGTCTTTCGGTAAAAATGATAAAAATGATACTAGCAGTCCCGAGAAGATCGTCTAGATCGTGGCAAAAATCATTCGAGCGATGGTGAAGGTAAGTGCCGATAAGAATGAACTAGACTGGACCTACATATTGGACGGTCTTAGTTGCCAATATCTCGGCTATTCTTCTTGCGACATTACCTCGATGGGTACCTCTACCAGCCATTTTGGATCCAACTTCCGTTGGATTTTGTCTTTGGCAATTGTCGTTACAGTCATATCCTTGCCAAGATCTTTAGCGTGGACGGATTGTGCAATCAGACTGGGCGGCACGCTTGTTTTCGACCTGGTTGAAGTGAGCTTGACTGTTACCCTCTGGGCTTACAGGTTCACGAGAGGGAAGGGCGGAACGAGGATAGAGACTGGTAGGGATTAAAACAACCTAAACAACCTTCGGTACGCTTGGCAGGATTAGAGATCGGAGCAAGACATTCAAACGGGTACGAGATCTTTGGACATCTTGATAATATGGAAATCTGGAGTAGAGAGAAAGATGTACAAATGGCCGGTGGTCCAATCAGAGGTCAAACGGTACTCAGAACTGTTTTCAGACCTTGAATAAATCGTTGAACATCAACCTCAGTGATCAACTGGCGATTGCCCTCAAATTCAAGATCCAGCATCCCATCCCGTGGGGTAGCATAGATTTCCGGTCGGTTTCGAGGTAGCAGATCTGGCTCGTAGAACGATATTCGACTTTTTGTCCCAAGGAAAGTGAAATGACGATCATCGTCTTGCTGGAAAGAGGTCCGCCAGCCAAAATCCTTTACATGATCGGGCCAGTCAGTGCAGTTCCTGATAATTTCCTCCATCCCGGCGGTTTCATATCGGGAATCTTCAATGAGCTGACGCTGCAACTGCAATGCAATATCCGGAAGAGCAGCATTTTCATCAATGTGCACGCTGATAGGGATCTCGGTCATAGACGGACCGACCACATTTGGTAGCATGCTCGGTAGCATAGACCGGCCAGTGACCAGACGACCGAAGACAACGTGAGCTTGTTGGTACTGGCGGGACAACACCATAGCACAAGCAGCATGGAAGAGAGTTGCGGGTGACATCCCCTCAACCAAACTGCCTTTGGGTATTGGGATCGTCGCTTTCATGGTCAGACGGTCCTTGGTACTGTACGCACAGTTGGAATAGTTTACACTACTCCAGTTGGGATTTGGAGTGTGTTTAAGGCGCGAGGTCCAGTAAGTGAAGGCACCTGCCTTATTGTCCTCTCTATAGGTAATATACTGGGTGAACTTCGGTTGATCAGGGGGAGTTTCGCCACAGTAGAGTGAAGAGAGATTGCGGAGAACCGTGTTCCAGCTAAAGCCGTCGAACTGGGCGTGCGAGATCCGGAAAATGAGTCGGTGCTGCCCAGATGGACTCCGGACTGCCATGAATCGAATGAACGAAGAGCCCAAGGTTCGAATTCTTTTTCGATCCAGCTCACAGATGGAATCAACGAAAGCCGTAATATCCTCATCATTATTTGCCTGGAAGTTGTCATACGCGGAATTCAAGTTTTCGAGCAAGACCTGCCAGAATCGGCCGTGCGCATGAATGAACACCATGCGAAGGATGTCATGATGATCTACTAGCTTCCGGCAAGACCACTCTAGCCTTGCAAAGTTGACATCTTCTGGGAGATCGAAAATCCAGTGAGGCAATCGGCTGGGTGGGTCTTGGAAAGCATCCAAAATTGCACAAGTTTGGAAGTCGGTGCAAGGAAGCACATCAAGAACAGTCCCAGCCCTTGGGTCGAGGAAAGGATCGACCAACTGAGTGAGGAAGGACTTTGGATCATCGGATTCAAGCAAAGCAAAGGGTCTCGACGATGGTAGACCATCCTCCATAGTTGTTTCCTGCACTAGGAGGGCGAGTTGACAGAGTTGCGGTGCGTTGAAAATATCCGCGACTGTGAGGGAGCGCTTCTCATTTCGTGCCGCTGCCACCAGTCGCATGGCTGAGATGGACTCTCCACCAATTCTGAAGAAGTTGCTGTCGGCATTGATGATGCTTGTATCCACTCCAAGGACAATCGACCACAGGACTTGTAATTTCTGTTCCATGACGGTGCTGGGTGCACGATGAGTCTTCCCGTGGGACTGCAGTTTTGCCAGCTTCTCCAAAGTTTGAATGGCTCCCAACTGCCGTAAAGTTCTTCTATCTGTTTTGTCCGTGGTAGTCATTGGAATCTTTTCAATAGGGATATAGGCACCAGGAATCATGCTAGGAACGAGATATAGTTAGCATCCGTGGCTTTTATCGAGAGTCACAAAAGTGGAGTCGAGCCAGGGTTTACATACTATTGTGGTACGCAATTGGAGAGCCTGTCTTCCAACCCGTCGATTAAACAGGTCAGCTTCGATAAAGTGTCTTCTTCGGACCTTGCCTCTTCAGAGGAAGATAGGGCAAAAAAGACGGCGAGAATGGGACTGCTGTTGTTGGGGGTAATAATTTCTGCCGCAAGACCATCACATAGGTCGGGATGGTGGAGGTTAGCACGGATGTGGAATTCGACTTCAGCCAGCTCAATTCGCTGGCCTCGCAGCTTGACCATACCGTCCTTACGGCCGAGGAAATCCAGAGACCCATCTGAATTGTATCGAAGTAGGTCACCTGTCTTGTACAGGGTGGCTTGGCGGCCCGGAATGCTTGGTGTGCCTTCCAACAACCAGGATGGGTTTTTGATATACGCAGCTGCAGTCTTGTCAGATTCATCAAAATAACCGCGACTGACAGTAGGGCCCTCTATGAGAAGCTCTCCCACAGCGCCAATTGCAGCCAGACGATCGGGATGGTCCGGTTGTACCAGCCATGTCCGGGCTCCATAAGAGTGCCCTACGTGATTGTTGCGCCCGTTAGGTCGGAGAAGAGTAAATGTGAGGGCCTGTGCGCACTCAGCCGGACCATAGATGCCGATGATGGCCTCAGCCTGCTCCCAACGAGCAACCTCGGCAATAGGAATAGGCTCTCCTCCCATAGCCAAGATCTTGAGTGCGGGCATGCTGCATGGGTTCAAAGATCGCACCACAGAAGGGGTGAAGTAGGAGTAGTTACAATTCATGCGATTGAAGGCCCCCGCAATGTCATTTCGACGCTCCAACTCGTCGGGAATACAAAGACAGCCTCCGCAGATCAACGTCTGAAGGGTATTAGACCATGATACGTCAAAGCTATACGAGACAAAGTCAAACACGCGTGTGCCTGGTTGAATACGCAGTATCTCTGCCTGATGCACTGCAGCGGATGCAAAATTCTGATGTGTGGTCACAATGCCTTTAGGTGTTCCCGTAGAGCCGCTAGTAAATACCACTGAGATTAAAGAGTTAGTAGATTTATTAAAAAGAGGGAATAGAGAAGAATAGAGTCACACCGTATAGCACATTGGATGGGTGAACTGTGGGCAAAGACCGGGTGAGAACATCTTTCGCCACCAACCCGAGGTAATCTTGGTCAATTATCATCACCTCGGCATCAGATAAATGACCCGCCAGTCCGGCAGTTTTGGCTGAGGCTAGGACAAATCGGGGGTTGACTTGTCTGATAATAGACTGTAGTCGGGTTTCTGGTTGAGTCGAGTCCATTGAGAGGCACGCAGCACCTGACTTCATCACTCCAAGAGCTGCCACCGGGTGCCACATGGACTTCTCAAAGCAAAGTGGAATGATGGTACCGGGACCAACCCCAAAAGCCAGCAAGTTCAATGCCAACCGATTAGAAAGTTCGTCCAACTCGAAATACGTTAAGTGGCCGTTCCAGGCGCAGATGGCTGGCTGGTCTCCATATTTCTGCGCAGTTGTAGTAATCAAGCCGTGGACGCATTCAGGAATTGCCGGGGGGACTGAAGAGTTCCACTCCCATAGCTCTGCTAAATCTGCACCACTGAGAGTTTGGATGTGATCGACAGGCTGCGTCGTGGTCACACATACTTGGCGCAAGACATGCTCGAATTGAGAGGCAATCCGTTCCATTTGCGCTGCATCCATCACCCTAGAATCAAAGCTGAACTCAAGCTGCAGGCCATTTGTGCTCGTGAGTTGGCATATAACCATGATAGCATTTGGATTGGAGTCATCTAGATCCTGAGTTGCGGAGATTAGCTCTCTGGGGTACTCGTAGGGGCCGCTTGGGTGATCGAGAGATTGGCCTTGACTTGCAGGCTGAACAACGAGAAGAGTATTGAATCGACTTCCGCGATCAGTGTTTGCATCAATGCGCCGAATTGTGAGCATCTCAGTCTGTTCGTAGAAAATCATGTCAATGGACTGCTTTTGGATGTTAGTGAGCAGAGTATCGACCGATTCTTGGAAACTTAATTTGACTCGGACAGGCACAGCATTTATAAGAGGCGCCACCATTCGGTCTAGGCCTTGGAGAGGAGCTTGTCGGCCTGTGACCATGGCACCAAAAATCACATCATCCGAGTCCATGTACCGCGCGGTAAGGATTGCCCATGATGCACGAATGACTGTGAAGAGAAATATGTCAGCAACATTCAGGGGAGGTAGTAGAAGAAGGAGGAAGGGGGATAAAAGAAACCTACTGGTTGATGGAGTGAAATCTCGCTGTGGCCACTGGAATGCCTCCAAATTGCGTCGTACTGTGCTGTCCGCTTTGATTTGATGCTCCGCATGAGGCAATACCGGGAAGGGGATTGCCTCGCAATTTGCAAACTCATGAGCCCAGAAATCCTTTGTCTTCTCAGCATCTGCCGCCATAAAATGCTTGATGAAAGCTTGAAATGATGCCACTGGGGTGTGATCATCAAGGAAGCCACAATAAGCCTTGGATACCTCATCCACGAGAAGATTCAGTGAATAGCCATCATATATCGCATGATGCTGAGTGAGCAAACAATAGCGTTCCCGGTTGCTTTCATCCTCCACAATTGCAAGACGAGTCAACGGGGTGGCCAGACCCATGGGTCTGGTTTGATATTTGTGGAGATATTGCTGTAGTGGTTGAGTGGCATCCCAGTGTAGCGGTTCATCCACGATACCTTGCACAAGCCCCTCTGTTGGACAGTCCACAATTCGAGAACGAAGGATGGGGGCAGATGCTCTACTTACCATCTCCCACGCATTCATGAATCGTGACTCATCGACATTCTTCCTCAGTTTGAGCAAGAGTAGAGCGACATACGAGTTGGCGCGTTTGGCGGTCATGGAGAGCAGTGACTTTTGGACACCCGTACATGGGAAGATGTCCTCAATTTGGCTGACATGGATGTTGCATTGGCTTGCGAAGATATCCAAGATAACTTTTTGTTTTGAGGGGTGCTTCAAGAGAGAGAAAGGATTGACTACTTCCATTTTTATGGTGTCTTTAGAAGTCAGTGCAGACATTACCTGTGCCATCTCCGATAGTCGAGGCGCGGTGAGAATATTATGGACCGACAAGCCTAGACCTTGCATACGAGCCAAAGAGGCCAACCGCATGGCCGAAATAGAGTCGCCACCCAAACGAACGAAGCTGCTTTCGGCCCCTATCTTCTCGGCGGGTACACCGAGGACTTTTACCCACAAACTTTGGAGGTTGCACTCAGAGGCTGTGCTGGGGGGCATTGTAGTTGCAGGGGCATCGTTGCGCACCAAGTATTCCAGAGTCAAATTGGAACCCATCTCGCGCAACCGTCGTCGGTCAGTCTTGCCACTCGCCGCCATGGGCATACATGGGGTTGCGATGTAAGTTGCGGGCACCATGTAGGACGGTACCCGGCTCGGCAACTCAGCTTCGAGGTAGGGCAAAAAGTTGGGCAATTGTGCTTTGTCGCAGTCGATAAAAACGGCAAGCATTGGCTGACCTGTGGCTCTTGGCTTTATAACCTCTGCCACCGCCGTCGGCGCAGTTACTGACACAGATAGATCCATTAGGCACTGCATGATATGATGCTCAACATCTGCAAGCTCGATTCGTTGGCCTCGCAGTTTGACCTGTGTATCCTTTCGGCCCACGAAAGCGAGATTTCCAGTGAGTGGATGATATTTGACAAGGTCACCAGTCTTATACATCCGCCCACGCCGTCCCGGCACTGTTCCATCAGGGGAGCCCTGGCCTAGCCAGGATGGATTCTCAATGAAGGCGGCCGCTGTTCTCTCTTCATTCTGGAAGTATCCTTGTCCCACTAAAGGTCCCTCGAGATACAGTTCACCTACTGTCCCAAGAGGAGCTAGTCGATCCTGGTTCCCTGGGTCTACCACCCAGGTCAAAACGCCGATGCCTTTCCCAATAGAGTGTACAGGGGGGGATGTGGCCCTAGGAACTCGGTGATAGAGAGTAATAGCAGAGCATTCCGAAGGTCCATATACCTCAAACGTGTTGACATGTGGTGACCATCGGGCGAGATCTTCTGGCAAGACCGCCTCGCCCCCGAGAAAGAGATAGCGCAACGTGGGAGTACGCTGCGGGTCTATCCATCTTGCAGTGGAGGGAGTTAAGAATATGTGCGTGGTCTCAAACCGGCGCACGCTCTCAGTCAAATCGTTTTTCCGTTCTTCCTCACTCGGAATACACAACACGCCTCCGGCGTTCCATACGTGAAAGAGGCACCAGTAGACAGCATCAAAGGAGTAGGATGAGAAATCAAATAGGCGAGTTGTTGAATTCATTTCAAGTGTGGCTTTCTGGTGAACTACTGCACTGGTGAATTGTTGGTGATGCATGAGACATCCTTTGGGGGTACCGGTGCTGCCACTTGTAAAGACGGCATATAAAAGATCACATGGAGATACAGACGGCAGGTTGTGATTTTTGGCGGTTCCATTTACCGCATCGGCCTGAAGTAAGGTGGATTCCTTCCCCAAGACTACTGGGTGAGCCACCCATCGTGAACAGCGTTGTTCCTGGGATATTGATGATAATAGCACAATGGGGCTCACCTGCTGCAAAATATCATCAAGGCGAGAGTTTGGCAGTGATGGATCCAAGAGGAGAGTGGCACCACCCGCTTTAATAACGGCAAGGACGGCGAGCATGGCGTACATGCTTTTCTCAAAACAAAGCGGAACAATCATGTTCTTTCTCACCCCCATCCATACCAGATGGCCTGCGAGCCTGGTTGACAGCCGATCTAACTCAGCATATGTTAAATTACCATCCCACGCGGAGATAGCCAGTTTTTCAGGCTGGCGTTGTGCAACTTCCTCAATTAGGTCATGCATGCATCGATCTATAGCGACAGGCAAGTTTGCGTTCCAGGTCCAGATGTCATTCAGATGAGACTGTGTCATCATGTTTATATCTCCTAGCGTTGTGTGAGGCAATTTCTTTGTACACATGCTCCGAAGGGCCTGATCAAGGTGCGCTGCCATGGTTTGAATGGTTTCTGTCTTGACAATAGAAGAGTCATGGCAAAATTCGACCTTCAATCGACCTTTGTCCAGGTTGCACACTACTGATAACGCATAAGAGCTGAAGCTATGGTATCGGGTCGCCTCATCATTTTCGGCAGATCGAGCGACAAATAAGCCAGTGTCGTCCATACCCTGCTCGGGTGGTTGGATTACGAGCAAAGTTTGGAAGCGACAGGCCTCTTCTGCCGCAGTGCTGACTTGTCGAATATTCGATAATCCTGTTTGCTCATGAAGGACCATCTCTCGCTCTTGGTCTTGGATAGATTGGAGAAATTGTGGAATTGTGGCACCGGTTTTAATCTGCACACGCACGGGAACTGTGGCAATGGTTGGACCTGCGATCCTTTCCGTACCCTGAATGGGGGCTTTACGACCCATAACCACTGTGCCGAAGACCACGTCGGATGAGATCGCATATTGGCTGCATACGAGGCTGAAAGCTCCACGGATGATGGTTGACGGAGTGAACCCATCTGTTCGCCATTCAATATCGTCAATTACAGCAGTTCTGGTGGCATTCGTTTTTGGTTGGTAACTGTCCGAAGGAAGTAATGGAAATTGTAAAGCTTCACAGCCTTCAAACTGTGATTTCCAAAACTTCACTCCGGCTTCCTTATTCCTACTGGAGACGTACTTGACGAAAGACTGGAAAGGGCATAGTCGAAGAGGCGTTTCCCCATGGTAAAGACTCTTCAACGTCCCCATTATCATGGCGGAAGCTGGCCCATCATAAATCGAATGATGCATCGTCAATGCAAAAGACCAGCGCACTGAGCCAGAAATGCCCGGGGCTTTATCACTTGTCTTGCATGAAAACAGCCCACAACGCATTAGAGGTGTTCCCAACCCCATGGGAAACTGACGATCGTGGCTCAGGTATTCTTCTACACTCCTGGCTTTGCTCCAAGCAGCTTTCTCTCGGATCACGACTTGAACAAATCCCTGTCCAGGAAGATCGATGATTCGTGTGCGGAGGATAGGAACAGTGCGGACCAGCTCTTCCCAGGCGACGTGGAAGCGATGGACGTCTACCGAAGGTCCTAGCTCCCGCACATTGCGACCGGTGTAATCCCCATGGGACTTTACTGTCAAAGCTAGCAAACCAGTCTGGAGAGATGTGCAAGGGAATAAATCTTCAATGCCAGCCTCATCGACAGCACAAGCGGACGCTGCCTGGTGTCGGGCGAGCTTCCGGTCTAGGCCAGGATCCAAAAGACTAAAAGGCTCAATTCTTTCATCTGTTGCATCCTCGAGATTTTGCAGCAGGCTTGCCATCTCCTCTAAGATTGGATATTCCACCACCCCGGCGACAGTAAGCAGCAGGCCATGTTGGCGAGCAATACCTACCAATCGCATGGCATCAATGGAATTTCCAACCTGCAAGAAACTGTCGGTGGCCGAGATTGTCTCCGGCTCCATCCCTAAAGTGAGAGACCATAAGCTCGCTAACGTGATCTCAGCAGTTGTGATAGGTAGCCGTCCCGTGGATCCTTGGCTAGATGGAGTGGACAACGCAGCAATCTCAAGCAGCCGTCTTCGATCTCGCTTCCCGTTTGTAGTCAACGGGACACTTGGGAGTGCGATATACCACGAGGGGACTGCATAGCGAGGAAGAACCGCCTGAAGCTTCTGGGTGAGTCCACTAGTTAATTGGTCGACATCTTCCTGGGTAACGATAAACCCAACGAGCAACATTCCGCCTCCACCTGGGGGTGAAATGGCATCAACAACGACATCAGTGTATTCACCTTGCTGACCAAGGCATTTCTGAATCTGGTTTTCGACCTCTTTGGGCACCACTAGTTGACCAAGTACTTTCAGTTGGGCATCCTTCCGCCCCAAGAACACCAGATAGCCGTCGGAATCATATCGGGCCAAATCCCCTGTCCGATAGACACAACCCTGCTTTCCTGGGCGAGTGCTGCCCAGATCTCGAGAGAGGAATGTGGGATTTTGGTAGAAGTGTTTATCTGTGAGAGACGCGTTTCCGACATAGCCACTGGCGAGTGCAGGTCCCTGCACCACAATCTCACCGATCGCACCAAATGGAACAAGTCTGTGGGGGTTCTGAGGATCTACAAGCCAGCAGCGACACGAGTCGATGTGTGCAACCACACCGCTGGACCAGTTGGGCTCATCGGCCGGGTAGACGGTAACTGCAGGGAATTCGGCAGGCCCGTACCAGTTGCGGACAGCGCAGAACCCCTTCCACCTCTTGACATCACTCTGCAACACGTTCTCACCTCCCATAACGATGGTGGACAGCCCCGGCACATCTTGCGGTCGCAGCAACCGGGCAGTGGACGGGGTAATAAATGCCCAGTTCGCCCCGAAGTGGTTAATTGCAGCCGCAATACCATCAAGACGTTGAGCTTCTGATGGAATACAGAGACAAGCCGTGTGAGTGAGCCCAATGATTGTTTCTAGGGTAGCAACGTCGAAATCGTATGATGAGAATTGGAAGATGCGTGAGGAGTGGGTTACCAACAAACGCTGGGTCGGTTCCTCTGCGTTTGCAGCCAGAGCGCGGTGACTCCAAAGAACATGTTTCGGCTCACCGGTGCTACCGGAGGACACCAGAATTGAGGCTGGGCTATCCATATCGAGCACTGGTAGTGGCGTGATAGTTTCTTCCAAGGGAGTATCCAATATTTGCTCCATGGTAATACAGCGAGCGTACCTTGAGACCGTCGCCAAGCGCTCAGGTGAAGCCAGGGCAACTTCTACACCAAGGTGCTGGAAATTCCGATTCATTCTCTGCTCAGGCATGTCTACTGATTGTAGCAGGGTCACTGCACCAGCTTTCCAGACCGCAACCTGAGCTAGTGGCGTGTATCGAGACTTGACAAAGCACAAAGGCACAATAGACCCTTTCTTGACTCCTAGGTGCAGAATTAACTTGCGCGCGACAACAGTAGAAACGCGATCCAGCTCACCGTATGTGAACTGGCCGTCCCATGCGTCAATGGCGATAGCCTCGGGGTGCATTTTGGCACATGAACTTATCTTGTCTGGTACAAACGTTGTTGGATCCGGAGGTAGATCTGTGTTCTGGGCCCAGAAGCGCTCCAGGTCGAGCTCACTTGCTGTCTGAATGGTGTTCATTGTCATCCGGTCGGGAGACTTTGTACATAACTGGCGAATGACTGTCTCCAACTGATGTATAATTTGTTTTATCTGCCGCCTATCAGTCATCTTCGGATCAAAACTCATTTGAATGTTAAGACCAGAGGTAGTAAGCTGAAAGATCACCATCAAGCCGTAGACATTGAAAGGATCAATACCCATGGTGCCCAAACTGGAGGCATAGCTGCGTGCCTTGAACAACCGGCTGTCTTCATACAGGCTGTTCCCTCTGGTTATTGGCTGAACCACCAGCAAAGTCTGGAATAGCCCAGAATTGCGGTCGCCGTTTGCTCGCTGAATGTTTGGCAAGCCGTATTGCTCATAGGACATAATATCCAGTCCTTGTTTTTGCAGGCCTTGGAGGAATGTCTCAACCGTACTCTCCCAATCAATTGACACAGCAATTGGAACCGTTGCAATAGTTGGCGCTACGCAGTTCTCCATGCCGTTTACATTTGCCTGTCTTCCACTCACTGTTACACCAAAGATGACATCGCTGGAGGCCACATACTGTGATGCGAGGACCGCCCAAGCTGCGCGGAGGATTGTGGATGGGGTCGCTCCCTTGGAAGGCCAGTCCAAAGCAATCGGATGCTCCATAAAGTCACTGGCTTGTGGCTCATACTTGTTGAATGGCAGGACGGGGAATGAACGGAATTCAGCGCGAGACAGCTGAGCCTTCCAAAAATTGTCCGATTCCTGGGTATTGTTCTGACTCAAGTGGCGAATGAAATGCTCCACTCCAGTGACTGTCCTTCCTGGCTGATCATAATACTGAGCCTGGAGTTCTTCGAGAACCATGGGCAGTGAGCTGCCATCGTACAAGCAGTGATGAATGGTGAAGATGAACGTGCGATCGATGATGGCTGCACGACAGAGCTGGGTACCTAGAGACATATGCTCTGTTTCGTCGTCTTGCAAGTACTGCTGGATTGTCTCACCAAATCTCCATGGTGTGTCACTGAGGACAACCTGCACAAGCCCTTTGCCGGGGAGATCCACTATTCGGGTTCGTATTATAGACAGTTTGGCTGTTGTCTTTTCCCAGGCACATTTAAGTCGGTCTGGATCAATATCGGTTTGCAGTGGCAATACACTACGAGATACATACTGTCCCTGTCTTCTGGCTCCCAAAGCTAGCAATCCCTCTTGAAGTGCTGTGCAGGGGTAGACATCGAGAACTTGATCTGGCGAGACCGAACAAATCTGGGCAACATGTGATCGACAGTATGACTCTTTCACCTCCAAGGGTAAAAGGGAGAATGGGGGGATGTCTTGCATATTCGTATGGCCCTCAACGTGGACAATTTTCTCGGCCATCCTCTCTAGCTCGGAAAAATCGAACACATCAGCAACAGTGAGGGAGAAGCCCTGGGTACGGGCCATTCCCACGAGGCGCATGGCGCTGATTGAGTCTCCTCCCAAGCGAAGGAAGTGGTCGGTTGCATATATAACATCCGGCTCAAGTCCTAGCACGTGAGCCCACATTTGCTGTACTCTTTTTTCGTTATCTGTGGTCACCTTTCTGGCTTTCTTTCGAGTTGGTTGCAGTTCTGCAAGTTGCGCCAACGTGAGGGAACTTCCAATCTCTCGCAATCGGCGCCTGTCTGTCTTTCCCGTTGGACCAATAGGAATTTCACTAAGCGGTATGTATATCCTGGGAATCATGTAGGATGGGAGAATTCTAGCAAGATTATTTTCCAAAGCATCAACCGGCCATGCACTTTGAAGATATGCTTGAGGGTCTGCGCGGTGATACGCGTCAGCAGGACTGATAAAGAGGGCCAACGTATCGTTGTCACCGAAAGCGGGAGAGATTATCTCTGCGACAAGCCTTATTTCCACTAGACCGGTCAGAAACTCTTGGGTGCACCGCTCTATTTCTCCCAGGTCAACCCTCTGGCCTCGGATCTTTCGTTGAGAATCTTGGAGGCGCCCAAGGTAGATGATACGACCATCCGAGTCGTAGGTAACTAGATCACCTGTACGATATACTGGACCTGGCCGACCAGGGGTCTTCCAGTAGCCATCTTGGAGCCACGATGGGAAAATGAGATTCTCTCTGTTCAACAAAGCGCCGTTGGCTCCAGCATATTGAGCTAGCATGGAGCCCTCCATACACAATTCGGCTACTGCTCCCACTGGAGCAAGCAAGTTTGGGTCTTTCGGGTCGACAAGCCACGCTAACCCAGCACGAGCTTGCCCGATCATCCCTGGACGCCAGCGATCGGAGTTTACAAGGCAAGAAGTAGCAACCGAAGCTTCCGCTGGCCCGTACCAGTTATAAACAGTTTTTTGTTTGTCTAGCCAGCGAAGAGCAGTTTTGTGCTCGAGCTTCTCGCCCGCAAATACCACTTTTTGCATAGATGACAAGTCACCTGGGTTCATGGTCTCTGACACAGACGGGGTCAAACACATCCAATTGGCGTTGTAATTGTTGATTGCGTCCGTCAGCCGATTCTTTCGGTCTGTCTCTGATGGGATGCACAGGCAACCTCCAGCGAGCAAGGTAGCCAGAGTCTCCACCGTGCTCACATCAAAATCATAACCGGCAAACTGGAAGACTCGGCTCGCATCAGTCAGTCCAAATGCCGCGATGGCAGCTTCAATGTTAGTTGATAAAGCTCTGTGACTCCATGCGATAGCCTTGGGTGTTCCTGTAGACCCAGAAGTAAACAGAATAAGAGCATGATCGCTAGGCAGATGACAATATGGTGGGGATGTGAGAACAACATCGGATCCTTCCTTTTCCGGCGTGATGAGGTCAATGATACTAAGGACTTGGATTGACTTGTGGAATGGAGACGAATCAGACGACGTGGAGGTGACAACAATCTGGGGCTGCAAGCTCTCAACAATTTGGAGGGCTCGAATTTTGGAAACTGGTACAGACATCGGCAGGACAGTTGCCCCAATTCTGAGGGCTGCAAGCATAATCAGTGGCTGCCAAGCACTTTTTTCAAAAGTCAGGACAACAATCGACCCAGGAAGTACACCTTTGTGAAGAAGTCGACTAGAAAGCGTTACAGACCAAGCACCCACCTTTTGGGCTGTCAACTGCTGGTCCCACGCAGATATCAAAATTGCTTCTGGCTTTAAAACAATTTGCCGATGAAGACCTTCGATGATAGATTCAAACTTGGGCTCCAGCTGCGATGCGTTCCATGTCCAAATATCAGCCAAGTCGTCCTTGGTGACAACTGCCATATCGCGTAGGTTCATCTGAGTGCAATCCTCTGAGCATAGCTGTCGCAGCAAATGTTCAATTTGGATTGACATTCTCTGGACTTGATTGGCTGCTATAGCACCAGCATCAAAGTTAATCTTCAGTTCAAACCCAGAATCGTGTAATTGGCAAACAATCATCATCGCATATGGATTGTACATGCCCACAGTATCTGCTTCTCCGTCCTTGGAAACTACTTTCAAACTGCCGGGCTGATCAGAGCTGCTAACAACACTGCTTGCTTGGCTGAAAAGGCCGTCATTCTCATAGCTGTTTGCCTGCTGAGCCGGCTGGACTACCAGAAGCAGCTGGAAAAGGTTGACATCTTCAACCAATCCAGCAATCTCCTGCAGCCCCAGCTGCTCGTGCTCAGTGGCCTCTACTCCCTGTCTTTGAACCTGTTCAAGCCAGCTCTCGACTGTTTGATTCCAGTCAAATTTAGCGCGGACTGGCACAGTTGCGATAGTCGGCCCTGCAATTCGTTCGATCCCAGCAATGGAAGCCTGTCTGCCGCTGATCGTGGCACCATACCTAACATCATTGGAATTTGTATATGAGGCCAGTAACAGGGCCAATGCTGCTCTGACGACCGAGGATGGTGTGGTTCCAGAATTTTTCCACGGCATTTCAGAGACGCTATAGTTAAAGTCAAGCTTTTCCCCTGGTCGATACCCCGGAGAAGGAAAAGACTTCGTTTCAGACCATCCTTCCAGATAGGTCTTCCAATAGAGCGATGATGCTTCTTTATTCATCTCTTTTGTATATTTCACGAACGACCGGAAGGGCAGCAAAGACGCGGGGATCACCTTTTTGTGGTATTCAGCTTCAATAGTACCCAAGATCAGCTTATTCGACCAGCCATCGAAGATCGAATGGTGCATCTCCAAAATCAGACTGGTTGCTTCTCCGGAAATCAGGCCAGCCCGACACAGAGGGACCCCCAGTCCCATCGGAATGAAGCCTTCGATGAAGTCGGGGATACTCTCGTATCTACCCAGCGTGATAGGGGAGTCGACAACGACTTGAACAAGGCCATTGCTGGTTAGGTCGATGACCCGTGTTCGCAGGATTGATGCTTGATGCTGAGTTTTTTGCCATGCCTTTTCGAATCGTGAAATATCTGTGTGGCTAGGAAGTTCGAACAGTGTCCGTGCAACGTTGTTGGTTTCACTTCGAGCTGTGATAGAGAGCATGCCCTGTTGGAGCGCGGTGCAAGGATATATATCCTCGACTTGGGGAAACTCGATGTTGCAGAGTTTAGAAGCCTCCTCACATATTCTCCGAGTCTCGGTAAGACCGTCCATCAGAGAGAATGGGGTGATTCCTTCTGCCCCAGAAGAAAATGAGTCCTCCATGATAACTAGGGCAAGTTCACTCAACACTGGACTCTTGAACACATCTGCCACCGTTATGGATAAGTTGACATTCCGCGCTGCCGCAACCAACATCATGGCTGCAACCGAGTCTCCTCCCAAGCGGAAGAAACTATCTGTGACGCTGATTCCCATCGAAGGTATTTTTAGTACGTGCGCCCAGAGCTCACGAAGTTGCTCCTCCATGACAGTTGATGGGTTACGGTATTCTTGAACCGGCAGGATGGTTGCCTGTAGTTGAAGAAGCTGCTTTAAGGACAAGCTATCTCCCAGCTCTCGCAGTTTTCGCCGGTCAACTTTGCCCGTGGCAGCCACTGGTATATCTTCGACGGGGAGATAGATGCTAGGGAGCATGAATGCTGGCAATACGCCGTCTAAATCGTGCACAAGATTATTCATCACTGTTTTGATCGTTTCTGGGTCATTGTTCTTAGTCCGCACGAAGAGTGCAAGCATTGCAGTATCGCTTCCCTGGGGGAGCACAATATCCGCAATGATCGTCAGTGTATCATTAAGACATGCACGCGCATGGTGCTCCACGTCGCCAATTTCAATCCTTTGACCTCTGATCTTCAATTGAGAGACATTCTTCCGCCCTAGAAACATGATGCTTCCATCCGAGCGGGCCTTGACCAAGTCGCCGGTCCTATACAGACGGCCTTGCCGTCCCGGGACAGCAGGGCTCCCCGATAAAAGCCACGGTGGGTTGTCGATGAACGCATCCCTGGTCTTTTCTTGATTGAACAAGTACCCTTGGCCAACCATGGGTCCCTCAAGGTATAATTCTCCCGGGGTTCCAAGGGGAACAAGCTGGCTACTATCGTTGACGTTGACAATCCAAAGGCAGAATCCTACTCCTCTCCCGATGTCCGGCCGGCCTTCCTCGCAGCGGTTGAGGCGTGAGAAGGTGCATTTCCAAGTACACTCAGTGGGACCGTATGTATTGAGTAGACAAACACGGCCAGCCCACTGGGTCACATTTTCTCGATACGGCATCTCTCCACTCAAAAGTACAGTTTGAAGTGTCGGTGGGACCGATTTAACTGTTCGCAGAACAGTGGGGGTGACATTGATCAGTGTAGCCGCAAAGGCCGTAATAGCCGCTGATAGATTATTCACCATATGTTGCTCGTTGGCAATGCACAGACAGCCGCCTGCGCACAGCGTGTGAATTACATTACTCCAGGCCACGTCAAAGGAGTAAGGTGCAAAGTCGAAGACACGCGACTCTGAATGGAAGCCAAGAGCTTTTCCTTGGTGATGTACAGCACTTCTCACGTTGTCATGGCTAATACATGCTCCCTTAGGTTCGCCAGTAGTTCCGCTGGTTTGAAGCATCAAAGTTAGCGCTCTTACTCCCTACATAATCGGGTTATGTATCACTTACGAGGTGAAAGATATGTAGACTATGTCTCTTGAAGATACCACAGGCAAAGCGATCGTCTGTTGTTTTACGGTATCCGCGATCTCCAACAAACTATCGTCGAGCTGAAGGAAGGGTAAATCGCCCAAACGAGATGCTCTTTTTCGAGTAGTTGCACAACAGATCATAGCCTTTGGCTGCGCATGGCTAATAATGGATCGAATTCTTGCATCTGGATGCGTGGAATCAAGGGCAATAGCTGCGCATCCGGCTTTGATGATACCCAACATCGCAACACATGTCCATCGCGATTTGGGAAAAAGAAGGGTGATTGGGGACCTCGGTGGAATGCCAATTTCACAGATATGATGAGCAACATGATCGCTCAAAGTGGACAGTTGAGCATAGGTAAAATCTCCATCCCACGCGCAAACCGCGAGGGCATCTGGTTGTCTTTGCGCCACCTCAGTTATCAAATCATGCACGCAACCTATGATAGACTCTGGGACAACAGCATTGCCAACCCAGATCTCATCAAGTTCTTGCAATGAAGGTGATGTAGCATTAGGTGCGTTCGTCTTTGTTGCAACCATTTTAATGGGCTATCAAGATTCTCGGAGGTTGTAGTTCCAGAGCTGCCAGAAAAAGTTGTCATCGACTCTTAATCTCAATTCCGACAACGCTGGTCTCTCGGTATCAGCGATGAAGTATTGAAAGAGCCAGGGATCACCTCTACTTTGTGAATATCCGTTCGATAGTGCGTACCCGGCAATTCATGCACATGCAAGATCGGGTTAGAGCCATGCGGTCAGAAATGACTGGTTTCACCGCTCTTGTCTCACAGAGCACGTTGTGTTCTACGATGCAGACCTGCCATTAATCGGAATGGTCCCGAGGCCCCGAGGGCCCACTTCAGCGCAGACCTTGGAATGTGCCATAAGCCACATACGGAACAGTAGATCTGGTGTATCACAACAGATGATCACCGTCACTTCCCCGTTTTCTTCAGGGCACTATCAATCCGCAATCAGATTGAAAAGACGTTTTCTACGTAGTTCAAATCTGCTAGGAAAAGCCTAGCTTTTGGTTCGAGTGTTCACACATCTGGCAACTTCAGCCACATTCCTCAAGAAATCTTTATCAGTCATGCTTGAGCAACTTGACTTTGCGAGATTTGACCATGGGAGTACCGAAGAGCGAGATCAGTTCTGCCGTGATTTGATTTCCGAGTTGAACAAGTCGGGTTGGGTACGACTAGTCAATCATGGCGTCCCTCCAGAGAGCATTGACCGGGCATTTGAGGCGGTGCGAACATTCTCTCAATTCCTGTTCGAAGGTCATCTTACTCATAATTCCTCCAGAGCAACAGATTCTTCAATCTCCCAATGGAGCAGAAGCTGAAGTCGCCTCACCCTCCCTCGGCTCATCCCCATCGGGGCTTCAGTCCCGTTGGCCTGGAGAACGTTTCAACTGTATCTAACTATCGCTCCTCGGCAACACAACCCTTGCTCAAGGATATGAAGGTACCAACACCAAACATATACCTCTGTCCAGATTATTTTGCGTTTCATATATCTAACAAATTCATCAGGAGTCTTATGATATTGGATCAGAACAAGATCCCCTGTACTCCAACATTTGGCCTCCCGCTGAAGTTTCCGATAGCTTTCAAACAATAATGAGCTCGTTCTTCACCGTCTGTTATAACGCCCAGTTGAACATTCTGGACGCTATTTCGATTGGCTTGGGATTGCCCGTTCACTCTCTGCGTGAACTGCACACCGAACAGACCAACGAGCTGCGGCTCACGCACTATCCAGAAGTGGATCGGGGTGAGTTTGCCAATGCTACTCGCATAGCGGCGCACACTGATTTTGGCACTATCACTCTGTTGTTCCAAGACAATGTCGGAGGCCTTGGTAGGCAATACCACTTTCCAAATTTGGAAGGTATCATCTCTCTATACTAGCATTGAGCTGACAGAGATTTAGAGATGGAACAGCCCCCTGGTAGTGGAGTCTTTGTTCCGGCTGACAACGCTGGCCCTTATGAGTGTATTGTCAATGTCGGTGATTGTCTCCAAATGTGGACGGGGCTGCATAGTGCCCGGCACCGTGTGCATCTAGCACAAAGTGAAAACCAAGGAAATATGGTCCAAGAGCGATTCTCGATTGCGTATTTCGCAAAACCTGATCGTGCAGCGCTTCTCCGCCCACTACTGGATTCAGTAGTGGATGATAGCAAGCCGGTGCAAAAGTTGTTGACAGCCAATGAGTTCCAGCATATGCGCATCAAGGGCACGTACGCCTAATTGTTCAGCGTGCGCACGCCACGCCTCCCTCAGCCTGCAAAATGGGTAGAGTGATTTCTCACATGTGTACTTAATTTGTAATTCGACGCCGATCCCAGCCATGTATCGACTATGACCAATCTAACTCATTGGGAAAGTTGCGTTGTAGTGCAGTTTCATCACAGAGAGTGTCGAGCTGGGGCTAGTTTGCCTGCAGGATTCTTGGCGGCTTCTCCGGCCGACGGGCTTCCGGCTCGTGTTGGCCAACGCCAACCCCCCCCCTCCCCCCTATTGTATGCAAGGAAATGTGCATTCAGAGCATGCAGGGAATATATACAATTCACAGAGTTCAGCTATCACAATTGCACCAAACACAGAGATCACAGACTTGTTTTCAATCCAAACAGGCGAGCCAGGTAATCCCCGTGGACGGAAGTGGTTTAAACCATGGGGGTTCAGCCAGTCTTGCTTTACACCACAACTACGGAGGATATCCACCTGAAAAATTCACCTTAGAACTCGGTCTTTGATTTTCTTCCGTCTGCGACATGGACTGGCTGAAATTTTGCTCCGGAATCAATCTTGCCGTGCTTTTTGGCGTGGCTGGGGCCATTATCATCTTAGTGCGACGGGTGTGCTTCCATCCATTGTCAGGATTTCCTGGACCGAAGCTGGTCGCTGCCTCTAACTTTCAGCATTTTTACGCCGTGTGGACCGAGCGAGAAAGGACTTCGTACCAAGATTTTACATCGCAAATACGGTCTTTCAGACGGTTACAGCTGATCTCGCGCTTGACCTAATTGACAAATAGGGCCCGGTCGTTCGCTGTGGTCCCAACCACCTGTCGTTCAATGACTTGGACTTGATCCCGGTGGTATATCATCACCAGAGCAACAAGACCGACTATCCCCAAGACTTTACCTGCCCTGGTGCAGCTACCAACAAAGCCAGCTATCTGGAGTATGCCGCGACCAAACGGCAGTTTGGACAGGCAGTGGGTCACACATTACATCCTCTCACTCGGAGTTGAGAACTGATTGGAAAAGTTTTCGGTGTCGCGAGTACAAATATTTGAGGGTCTGGTTGATGAAACTCTTGTGCAGTGGGTTTCCATTCTAAAGGAGGAAACCCATTTCAACCCCTCCATAGACTGGGGCACCTGGGTCAAGTAATGTCCTGCTTCGAACGGGAAATCTTGAAGTGGGGACTGACTGGCCTTGGCTATTTTTCATTTGATGTCTACGTGCCCATGAGTGTGGGGGTGAGCTTCGGCTTCCTAGACCACAGGTCCGATGTAGGCAACTTGTTGAAAAGCAGTTGCCATATCTTCCGGCAATGGACGCTCAGTCGATATTGCCCCATCGCTTGGCTAGCTGCTAATACCTCTATTGGCCGTCGCTTATTTATTAGTGGGCGCGACGATGGAACCGGCATGGGCATGTGGACTACTGTAAGTGCCTCGTGCAATTTCCATGACGAGTAGCTCTAAGCCAGATCTAGCAAGTGCATGAAATTACTCAAAAGCGTATTGAAACTTCCAAAACAGGGGAAAAGCCACGATGGGAACACTCCATGTTGGATCAATGGCTGGCGGCCAAATCCGCGGCAGGGGAAGGTATTCCCCTATCGGATCTCGAGGACCAGCTAGTTTCAGATGTGTGGGTTCCCCCAAGATCAACAAGCCCCTTATCAATACGGAGTAGGGACTAACTATATTCGTATAGATTCGGTGGTCCCTATGCACTCGCTACTACGATAAGCCATTTGGTGACCACAATGGCCAACCATCCCCAGGCTGTTCGGCGAGCCCACCAAGAGATTGATAGCGCCTTTACCCAGCAGACCCTCTCTACCCCATCTCCCACCTACACAGAATGCTGTGCTCTCCCCTTTATTGATGCTTGCGTGCGGGAGGCCATGCGTATCACAGCGACGGCCTCTCCTCGATAGCGCTGCTCACCAGACAGACCGCTGCGTATATTAGACCGGGAAGTCCCTCCAGGGACTGCGGTGGCTACAAGTCCCTTTAGCATTTCCACTCATCCGCAGCTCTATGGTGACAATGCCGAAGATATTGTTCCCGATAGGTGGCTTGAGGCCTCGGAGGAACAGTAGTGTGGAATGCATATGATGCGCACTGGGGATTTGGCTATCGCAAGTGTCCCGGACGACATATAGGGGTCCAGGTCCTATATAAGACTTTAGTTATGGTATGTGATCTGTGTGGTCTATATGGCCTGATTATGTCCGTTTTGTGGAGTTCTGTGATTGAGATTCTCGTTCAAATCAGGTCCTACGCAATTTCGATTACAAAGAGGGGACTTCAGGGTCGTCTTCCTTGCTGATGCTGCCACGAAAAGTTTTATCCAACAACCCCACATAGTCTCCGTGATAGGCAATACAGATACCAGAGCAAGCTAGCAGGCTAGGATAGATAGGGCACTGTGGATGAGCGGGGTTCTGCTCGTTTCTTCTCATGCTTAAACAACTTCGTCGGCACTTGGTTAATCCTGCCTAATGTAGGCAAATGATGTATAAACGCTTGAAGCTGGGATATCATATTTGTCACTAGCGAGGTGTCACTAGCGAGGTATGCATGGAAGTGGATCTTGTCGCCTGGGCTGGATGCGCTCTGAAAGATGTCTCAAAAGCTGTACCAGAACGAGTGAAAAAGATCCCAAATTTTCGGCACAAAAAAGTACCAACCGATTCTGAATTCCCGTAAGACGTGCGATAATTTGCTTTGTGACAGGTCTAGATCCTGTCATCATTTAGCGGCATGCACGTTCCACACCGGCTGCAACTCCTCACATCTGGGTATTCAGGCTGCTTATACGGAGTACTCTAGCTGTAATTCAGCCAGCCCCAAAGTTATGTGTGCGATGCGATTGACTCACATAGATGGCTCTAAATCTCCATGTGAGATGTTCTCATTGCACAATCAAACCTCCCTATGTGTCTACCCCCAATAGAAGGCCTAGGTGGGTGTATCATCAAAGATCACATCATCAATCAGCATCAGTCGACTGACAGCTGTCGGCCGTAGTCTATAGACAAACTGCATTAGACATGGATTTAATGTAATGGACAGGAAGTGAACACTTCCCAAGAGTTAAATCCCCTGGATGGCCTTTTGTCTACATGCTCCGTACAGTAGAAAGCGTTTTATACATTTATGTTTTCCATCTACGCACTCCTATATTCTTTTAGCTCTTTCTCGCTGGTATTGGTTCCCTTTGATACCTCGTCATGCAGCTCTAGCTTTCGTATCGTGATTTATTACTAGACTGCGGCACGGTCCG